GCAGTGTATTATTTGTTGAAACTGTACTTTCGATTTGATTTGAAACTGTCTCATTGCTATATGTTTATCAATAAAACTTTGAAAAGAAAAAAAACAAACAAAACAAAAGCATCACTGGGGAATAAGACCCATGAAAATACAAGGTGGAAGTGGGGGTATGTGGAATAGCCATGAGAATGAAATGCATCTCTGACAAAATCTCTCCACCCAACAGAGCTGAAGAGCAAAGTCTGTCGATAAAGGGGACCATCTTTAGACAGAAAGAGGTAGATCCTTATAGTCAAAGGCTGAGGCTATTTGGAGAAGAGCCAGAAAAGCATTGCCTTGAGGGGCTGGGGAGATGGCTTAGTAGAATTAGCACTTCCCTGGCAAGTGCAAGGGTCTGAGTTCAACCCTGGTTCTGCCAAAAAAAGAAAAAAAGAAAAGCATTACCATGACTCAAAAGCTGAAATGAACAGAATGATTTAATAGCTAGAGACTGTCAGTTAAACAAGCACATGCCTCATAGCTGGGAAGTCTTTGTCTGAAGAGAGTTCTGACTGGTACTCATTCCCATGTCTGTCTCCTAGCTTGACCACTCTAGGTACCCATTCCAAACCATCAGACATGCCTACAGTCATGTGACTCAGCTCCTAGCCAATGTGACCCCTGATTCTGGAGAGAAGAGAAAGCCTGCGAACAGAAGTGTGTTCTCATTCTCACCCATGACCAACAGGTGAAATGCGCATTCCATTCAGATGAAACAGTATTGCCCACTTGCAAAACTACGTCCTGATCTATGATTCTATTCAGACATTTGCACAAAAGTCTATCAGTGGAGTCCCCCAGTATAGGCTGCTGTTAATCCAAATGGTAATTCTGCCAAATTCATTAAAGATCCTTATTAGCTTTTTTCCAATACCTCATAATCTCAAAATCTAGTTGCATCCAAGGGTACCTTACTAAAAGAACAATATATGAAAAAGGTCTTTGTGGTTTACTTTCTATGTAAATAGAATAAATTTATTTATGGATGAATGAAAACATTTTTTTTTTTTTTTGTGGTACCAAGGATTGAACTCAGGACCCTGCACTAGCCAGGCAAGCACATGTTCTACTGAGCTATCTCCCTGGCCCATGAAAACATTCTTGACTGGATTTCTCACTTTACTTCTTAATATAACTGTGATATAGTTTCATATAGTAAATAATCAGCAAGAAGAAGCCAAAGATTAAGAGAAAATTTAGAAATTTTTCTAATTTTCCTCCTCATAGCATATACTTAATGTAGTCAGTACTGAGCTCAAATACAGAATTTTGTCCTGACTTTAATTGTAAGCTATTTTTTGAATGCTCAAAACATATTTCTCATTAGAACAGTGGTATTTACTTTCTTGGGTGAATTCACAAAGCTAAAGTACCTGGAAAAATAAATAAGTATTTCTCTTTTGTTGTAAGATATACTTAGAAAATATTATGTACAACAAAACATTACTCACTTCTCTTTACTATATAATTCAACAGAGCCACTTGACATATAAGGATGGCCCCAGAATGAGGCACAGAAAGTCAAAACAGGAGCGAGTAGGGACTTGATGGGTGAACATGAGTGCAAGAGCTAAACAATTTTCCCCTCATCTTCCTTTATGATTTCAATTGTTCCAGCTTTTTCCTTGCGTAAGCTTCCTCAGTCCCTCTCAATTACACTGCAAACAAACTCAGGCTGATGAGAGTGGTGGGAAGACTAATGGAAAATTCTCTTCTTTTCTATATTCCCCATTCCTCTATTCTACCAGTTCCATTTCTTCTTTCAATTTCTTTCTCCATATTCTCCTCCATCCTGTTTCTTCTCCATTCCTCTTCCTTATCTTCTGCCCACATTTCCCATAATCTCTTATGTTATATGATTTCCACCTTTACATTTTTTGGGGGTTCATCTCTTTTTTTCCATTCATGGCTATTGCCTGCTTGGGGATTTAACTTCTTGCCTGTAACCCACGTGATTCTTCTGCCTCTACTCTTAAGCCTTCCATTCATCCTCCACCCTATTAAATAGGTCTATTCCTGCAAAGCTCCAAATTAAGGAACCCAATACTTTGAAAATTAGGGCTCCTACCTATCTATTTTGTCCTATCTCCCTGCCACTGCTCCATTTATTTTATCTGATTTATTCCTTCCTGAACTAGAACAGGCTTCCTTGGTACTCTATGTAAAACCCTCCTTTTAGCATTCTTAGTAATGTCTTTCCTTTCTACTACTGGCCTATGAGCACCCTGCATGCAAACATTAAGTCTTTTATCCATAGGAAGTACTACAGAATTAAGTCTACTACATAACTGGTTTTGGGCATAGTGACAGAGTAGAGAAGACCCTGCTAGAGTGAGGCAGAGGATGGCCAGGAATGACAAAGGGTTGTGGAACAGCTGTACATGTAAGAAAGTTGTGTCACTCTGAGCTCAGAGTCTGCACTAGCACCAGGGAAAGGAATCCTGGGGAAGATGGAAAATTCCTCATAGCTGACATATAAGAGGGACACTCTGGAGCAGCCCTACTAGGTCACTGGCAGGGAACACAGCAAAACCAGGCAAAAGTAAGCCAGGAGCTTTCTGCACTTTTTAAAAAATAGGTCACAACATAAACAAAAGCAAATACTAAAGCTAAGTGTCATGGCTCTAAGATTTAGTCTTCTAAGCTCCTTGACAATTAGTGCTCAGTATATAATTTGCTTTTTCTTAAAAAAAAAATCTGCAAGGCAATTTTGTGACAAACTGCATATGATACTTGGTTAACTCAAATATCACACTATATATATAAAATGCACATATATCTATATAAAATACACACTGTAAAACAAAGCTTGCTGCAAGTGATTATAAAGATGATAGATAGATAGATAGATAGATAGATAGATAGATAGATAGATAGATATCTTTTCAATTGGAAGGACCTCCTTCCATCTATGAAGTATTTCCTTTCAGTCAAATCTTGTCTTTAAAAAGAACACTTCTGGCAAAAGCAACAAGATCAACGTCAGATTCTTGGCAACATGAACATTTGTCTAAGAATTTTTCTTCATTAGGAGTTAGAGGTGGCCTCATATTAACTATGTCAGGCCACAGGGGAAACACTAATTTACTAATTCTGGACTGGCTATTTTTTTCTTCATTATTATCCAAGTCTGCTGACCCACAAAACTAACAGTAACAACAAAAATCAATCAAGGCCTACATAAATATGTAATTTAATACAGGCTTTTAAAAGAGAAATAGCAAGTATTCAATTTCATGTTGTAGTGCAATAAATATTTAATAAATGCAGCAATTGAAACACTTCCCTTCTTTTCTGTGTGTTGAAGGGGAAATCAGAAGATAAGGAAGAATAAGGAAGGGGATAGAACTGGGGATAAAATGAAAGAAAGCTCTAGAGATCAATACCTACAGGGAACTCAATATACACATGCAAAGATGAGGACAAAATCAAAGCCCAGAAAGAAAATGAATAAAGCTTTGGGGTTGACAGAATGCAGTGAGAAGAGAAAGGCTCAAAGGGATAAAGAGGGTTGGAACCTCAGCAGAGGATGATGCCCCTAACCCAATTATGAGAAAGTATAGGACAGGGCTGGGTGTAGGGCAAAGGAGACCCCAGTTCTGTTTTGAACATGTTGCACTTGGGGGACCTGCAAAAGAATCATAGAGGTTGAGGCCAGATTCAAGAGTAGGAAATATAAGCTTCAGGACTAGGGACTTCACTCTGGAAGACAACCTTAGAGTTGACAACTGTAGCTGTAAGAGTGACAGGAATGGAGTGGTAGATAGATAGTGAAGAAAGGAAATATCAAACATGAACACTGAGGAGTGATTTCACTAAAAGAATGTAATAGCTTGGCTTTTTTGTGTGAAAGCAATGAGATGTTTCACTATGCCGCAATGCTTCATTTTGCTGAGTCATTTCATTCACATTTTGTAATCTATTGTTCTAAATGTCTATTTCCAATTGGATTGATAACTACATCTTGTTTATGGTAAGATATATCACAAATACAAACAGAATCAAATACAAGAAGAACAAGGGCACTTATTAAATAGTGAGATTCATGAATATCTTACACATTAATTATATAGAAGCTTTTGTTGAAACCCAGATGGCCAGTTTCTCTCTTCTCTGATGTTAACCACAAACTAAGTGGAATGAATTTTATTTTTAAGTATTCAGCAAATTTTATTTGGAATTCAAATAGAACTCTTTCATTTGGAAGATTCACATATTGGTTTGAGAAAGTCTTTTCCCAAGTTGTTTTAAGTGGGTAGGTATGAAAGTTCTAGTAAGTGTTGTGTTAATGCTGATTAGGCAACAAAATCACTTACTGATGGGAACATTGCCAGTTCTGTTTTCAGAAAGCTCTTTCTGTAAGTTTCTTTTGAAAAGTAATTAATCAGTGTCTTGCCCACTGGGTGACTTCAGTTCATTAGCCCTTTGTTTGATGAGGATGGAGAAGAGGTTAAGAAAACCAGTTTTTGCCTATAAAGATTGATGGCAAAACTTCCTAGAATATCACTTTTGTCATCCTATGCTCCTTTGGCTGAGATTATCAGCATTATTTTTCAACCACTAGCTTCTTTGCAGAGATTTAAAAGCCTTTTGTCCATTTTAAAAAATATATCAGTTATTTAATTAGGTTCTTAGTAAGAAATTTAGAACACTAATTTATGTGGATAAATTCCATTTGTCAGAGCAAAAATGGATCACAGATAACCCCGGAGCTGAGGAACAGCTTTGATTTTTGCTAAAATCTGTGAGTCCACCACTTTCTGATCCACCTTGTGCTGCTCTGAAATCTGGTATCTCTCTTTCTCGGTGTTGAAGATCTCGTCCTCCTGGTGTCTGGGCTACTGAAGCTTCATCTTCCTGAAGTAAGCATCAGTGAGGTGTTTGGGGATTTTCAATTTGTTGATATCAATTTTTGTAGAGGTGGCAATGACAAATTTCTGGTGTGTTTTTCATAGAGGAACACAGTTAAGGTTAAGAGGCCCAGTCACAAGTAGCAAGCCACTGGCCAACTGCTTCAGGAAGACCACTCTCTTGCCTCCGTGATGCCCGATGAGGGCATCAATCTTGTGATTGTAGCAAGAACTTTTTCATTCTTTTTCTTCTCAACCTTTGATTTAGCAG